CCAACACCGACACCGGGCACAGGATATCCTAGACCGAGACCTACGCCTACTTTCCCCATCTATACTGGTGATGGAACTGGTGCTAATGGAAATGTTATCAGTCCTGGTGGTGTAAGTTAACGCTGTGTTTTATTTACTACACTAAACAAAAAAATATGTCTAACATTTAAAAAATGATTTTTAAAGAACAAATCCATAGCTTCTTAAAAAGAAGCTTTTAATAAGAAATCTATAACTTGAAAAAAATCAATTTAGCTTTTATCTAAAATAGAGTTGCGATTTTAAAATCGGAGTTACAATTTTAAAAATTGAAATTCACAGGTTTCTGTTCGAACAATTACAAATAGAAATATTCAAGTACAAATTTGAAGAATTCATACAAAACTAATAATTGATTTGTTTGATTAATGAAATTTATTTAATAAAAATTTAAAATAAGTAGTAATTATTTTTTATTTTAGATTTGAAATCAAATCTAATAATTTGTTTTAAATTATTTAATATCTTCAGATACTTTTATTTTCAAAATTTATATTTTTCAAACGCATAAAAATATTAAAATATTTTTATCTTTCTGCAGAAAGACGCAAAATGAACAAATATTTGATGACATAATTAACTTAAGAATGATTTTTATTCATATTTATAATTTATTGTTGTTTTATATTTTTGTTTCCATCTGGATGAAGTAATCTAATAAATGAGATATATATGTTTAAAATTTTATATATATGTATTAATTAATATAATATACATATGTAAGTCTTTAACTGATGGATTTGCTGTAGCATGACCATCATCATCACGAGCCTGGTATGCCCTTCGACTTCAATTATGCCGTGAAGGAGGACGCTTTCGGCAACGATTATTCTCACAACGCTATTAGCGATGGCGAAATTGTTCGCGGTGAATATAAGGTACAACTTCCGGACGGCAGGACGCAAGTTGTGCGATACACCGCGGATTGGCAGCATGGCTTCAGCGCTCAAGTCTCTTACGACGGGAATCCTCGCTTCGATATACCACGACCGGGTGGTAACTTCAATCGAGGCTATTAAATTTTAGCATCAGGTTCTAGGGTTGTTCAATTTTTATTAAATCGAAAAGATTACAAAGCACAACGAATTGTCGTGTACAATGTAATATTTTTTTAAAAATTGGAGATTATAGCAAGGATGTATCATGAAAATATAACTTACGTAGAGGACAAAGGTTCGCTA